TGATTCTGTGGTACACTTTGAGGAAGATTGTCTTCTTTGTATTACCTTTTTTTTTATATTTTATTTGTATATATTTTACATCAGGTGTAGTCCCCATAGAATTTCCACCACCAGTTCACCTGTGCACCATCCCCTTAGTCCCTTGTGCTCTTCCCACCTGTGTTTTACACCTTCTCCTTTCCCCCTCCCTTGCAGAATGTCTCGATTTACAGTTGTCTGTTTTTGTTGTATTTTTTTATTTGATATTTTTTTCCCTTACCCCTTATTTGGTTTCCCTATAGTCCTTCTATAAATGAAATCATCTGATATTTTTCTATCCGACTTATTTCACTGAGCATAATTCCTTCTAACTCCATCATGTTATTGAGAATGATATTAGGTTATCTGTTTTGTTTGTTCTTGGTGTTTTTTTTTTGGCTGAATAATACTCCATTGTGCATATGTACTTGATCTAATCATCTATTTTTGGGCATTTTGGGTTGTTATTATTATTATAAAGAGTGCTGCAATAAACATAGAGGTGCATGTACCCTTTAGAATTAAATATTTTTGTGTCCTTGGGTAGATTCTTTGGGGTGGACTTGCTGAGTCAAATGGCAGCCCCATTTTTAGTAATCTGAGGAAGCCACACAGCTTTCCATAACAGTATAGGAGAGTTCCTTTTTTTTTTTTTTTTTAAAGATTTTATTTATTCATACAGAACTGGGATATAGACCAGAGGTACAGGGGCAGTGAGAGGATTCAACAGGCCGACTGAGGAAGTACACTGCTGAGGGGAGCAGCGGGTGGGTCAGGAGAGGTCTGCTGCACCATGTGGGTCACCTCTGGGGCAGGTGGGGATCAGACTCAGGCTGAAGTGGCTTTAGCTTCTTAGTGCTGTGCTTTAACCCACTACGCCACCAAGGAGGGCCCTCCTAGTTGTATTTATTCCTATTTTATTCTTTTAGAGTGTGGTAAAAATAACACCTTTTTAGATTGTTCATTGACTGTGTCTAAAAACACAACTGATTTTGTTTTGTGTGTTGACCTCAGAGTCTACAATTTTGCTCAATTTATTAGCTCTACTAGTTTTTTTCTTGTCCATTCTTTGAAATCTTCTACATAGATGGTTATGTCATCTGCAAATACAGTATTGCTTCTCTTTCCAATTTCAGTGCATTTATTTCTTTTCTTACTGAACTTTTCTAGTAGTACTTGCAGTACAATAATGAAAGCAGTGATGAAAGCATCCTTGTCATGTGCCTGTTCCTAAGGGGAAAACTTTCAGTATTTCACAGTTGAGTATGATCTTAGTTATGGGTTTTTATAAATGTTGTTTATCATATTGAGGAAGTTCTCATCTAGTTTTGAGGTAGTCTTTTCAAAGACAAGAAACTATCTGACCTCATTCTTCATTAAAAAAAAAAATCTATCCTCAATGTGTGACTCATAATTAAATATTCAACAGAGATTTTGTAAAGTGTTCAAATGAATGAACTTGCTATTATTTTTTCTTTATGAAATGTTTCTGTCAGTTTACTTGCCATAGCTTATGCTCATTAATTTGAGATGTTGGCTAGTTTCCTTATTCAAGAGAATGCCTTTAGTGATTGAGTGTCAACTTTGTTATTCCCTCTTTACTATTACTTCTTTTTTTTTTTAATATTTTTTTATTTATTCGTACAGAACTGGGGTACAGACCAGAGATGCGGAGGGTGAGAGGATTCACCAAAGACAGAGTGGGGTACAGAACAGGCAGATCAATGAAGTACACTGCTGAGGGGAGCAGTGGGCGGGGCAGGCGGGGATCGAACTCATGGGGAAGTGACTTAAGCTTTTTTGTGCTGTGCTTTAATTTAACCCGCTGCGCCACCAGGGAGGGCCTCTTTCCTGTTATTTTAATCAGTTACTTCCACTTGGAGTCATCCCACATTTCTGTTAAACTGTTACAAAATAGTTTTTGAATTAAAAATAACATTATTCACTCAAACTTAACTTTGTGCTTGGAATTTTCCAAACACAAGTTTTAAGGCTTGTGTTTGAAGCTTAAGTTTCTTGACTTCTTACTTAAAGTTTTGCATAAACCTACCAAACAGATTTATTGAAGACCTTTAACTTGCTTTTTTAAAAAATTATGTAAACATTTGCATTTAGTAAAATATTAATAATTATAATGTAAAATTTGAGAGATGATTCATATAGGGAGAGTTTCACATTATCTGTGAATAATTATTTACTAAACAATTGACATAAGAGTTAAGCGGGTAGTTTTTTTTAAGCATGTTAATAATTGATGGTGTCAACTAAAGGTCATTAAAAATAATACTATCTAGCTTAGCTTTTTCATTCTATTTAATAAGACCCTGTTTCACTAAAGAAGTTTCATTTTATCCAAATACATTTTATCTAAAAACAGTTTTCATTAATGCAAATAGACAACAGAGATATGTAGAAGGCTACTGCCTGGTAGGTACTTCCTGGTAAGGAAATGGAGAGAAATGTAAGAAATGTCTCTGTTCTGTTTGGTGAGAAAAGTTCCTGGAATAAGAATCCATGATCTGATAACTTTGAACTGTAAAATTATGTATATGTGAAATTTTTCTGTAGTGTTTATAATTTCATACTATTATTATATATCCATGATTATGAAATACTAAGAATCAAATGCCCAAGGGATAGTAGTGCTCATTATAAAATTTGCTTATTAATATTTCAAGCCCTAATATAGAGAAGTTAGCAAAGGTATATGTGCTTATACTTAAGTATATGTGGAAAATACATGATTTTTATTTATTCTCTGAAGTTTAATGTAGTGATTATAGTTGGAGTAATCAAAATGCTGTATCACTGTACCATGTAAATTTGGGATGGAGTATTTGTGTACATTTACTTTAGCTATATATATGTGAATGATTTATATTTGGACCACAACACAAAAATGTTAACAATTGGGACTAAATGCTATTAAAGCAAATACACATTACTTATACTGTATAATTGACCAAACAATATTCAATGAACTAAATTGTGATGAACTTGATGGCTTGGCACTAACTTACTATCTCACTAGGATAATAGCAATCAAAAACTAATAATTTAAGACAACAAAGTAATTTTTCATCCAAATGCAGGAATTCCCAACCATTTGTATGTGTTAGAGCTTTGCAATTTTATATGATAGCCAAACTTCTTACAATATAGTTTCAAAAATTTCAGAAAACTCAAATCATATACTACAGTTTATGAATATCAGACTTGAGCTGTGTTTTATAACTCAAACACAAAGTATAGAGTTCTATTTTATTTTTGTATAGAAAATATTTACATATCTTTAAATATGTAAGTTTTCATCCTATCCTTTGGTCTACAAGTGGACCTAAAACCATACTTTAATAAGAAATTATTATATTGCTAACTAGGTAATTAAATTTCCACTAATAGCATATATATATCCATAAACTATGTTAATATTCCTACAACTTTTCTTACTGGGTTAATTGAGATACTATCAATTTTAAATTCTGAAACTCTTTAACAACTTTTTTACTTCACCTACATTCACACTGCAACATTAGTTCTCTGCTTTACTATCAATTATTGCTCTGTTTAGTATTATAAAATCCATCAGCTGTGTCACACTAAAACTGGGTTATAGCAATTTAATTTAAAATGTGTATTTTTGATATAAGTATCTTAACATATTTCTAATAGAATACTGAATTTCTTAGAGTTTTTCATTTGTTCCTTTGAATACCTTTTATTTTTGTTTAGAATTCATACATCTCTAACATCTAGGTAGAAGCAAATAGCATTTATTCTTTTTTTATAATTTTTTTTATTTGTATCGTCTACATCACATGTAGTTCCCATAAAATTCCCACCAATTCACCTATGAACCATCACTGTAGTCCCTTGTGCTCTTCCTTCCCATTTTGATCACTTTTCCTCCTCCTTTCTCGCAGAATGTCTCTTATTTATGATTAGCATTTATATAAATGATACTAAAGAACCTGAACTAAATATAAATAAATCACACCTGGGTTAGGAGTTTAATCAGAACACATAAATGTATAAAAAGAGAATGAGTAAAATAAAGAGAAGCATTATCAGAATACTGGACTGTTTACTAAGGAAATGTAATCTGTATGTCTTGTTATGGTTACAAATGTTAAATTGGTTATTTTTACAGTTATGTTAGAAATTGGTAATAGCCATTAACTACTTCCAAGATTTACAAACTTATGTCTATTTATATTTATTAAACTTTATGTAGCTTGTTCGCTCCTAACTCTGAAAGCAGAGAAAAGAGAAATTTTTTTCTTCTTTATTTAAACCAATACCCAAATTAGACTGATTTCCCTTTGCAGTAATTTACCAGAAATTATTTCATTGGCCTGCAAGTTTATACATAAACTGGACCCCTGTTGACCTTGCCTACTGCTCATAGCTTTTGTGACTAGTTGTGATGCTTTCATTTTTTTTCTATGCCAACCTGTTTTTATCGTAGCTTCTTTGCACTTCTAGAACATACTCCCACCCCCGCCCAGATTCTTTTGTGGTGGTCTTTTTTTTTATGTTCATATCAAACAACCTCCCTGACACTCAGGCCAGTTAAACACAGTACCAGGAGTCATTATCATAGCATCCTTTGTTGTTTTCTTTATAACCTGTTGCTTGAGGTTGTTTTTTTCTTTATTGTGTAATTTTTCTCTTTAGCTCCACTACAAAGTATAAATTCAAACTGAAATGTAAAGAGATGCCTTTTTTATTGGAACCTTATGATCTAAATTCTACAACATGGTACTTATTAAATAGTAGTTGAATTAACATTTTTCATAACTTGCTCCATCTAGAAGTATCAGTTGTATTCTGAAAAATATCTTAAAGGCTATTTGGTGTAAATGTTTTGAAAGTTGTTAACATTTTAGTATTCCCATTTGATTAATTTTGTCTTATTTTAATGGTTGTCAAGAAATAAGTGTTAGTCTTAATATCTAGAATTACTATTTCATTTTTGACAGGTTGACTTTGGCAGAATATCATGAACAGGAAGAAATTTTCAAACTTAGACTAGGACATCTCAAAAAGGTATGTGAAGCATACAATGGACTTTTAAGTTTGTTATTAGAAGCTTTGGAGAGTTGTCTTATAAATCTGTCATTGAAGACTTCAGTGGGCCCAAATTAAAACTTTCAGACAAAAAGAAGGGACATTAAGTTGCATTTTTATATTGAATATGTTAGAAGTAACATCTTGTTTACTTTTTAGAAAGTTAGAAACATTGAGATGATGATAGTAACATTACTGGGTGTGGAGGAGTGGTTGGTAGGCAGACCCTCAGTCTTTATTTTGCTTAAATACTGTTGCTGTGGGAAAAAGTGCTGCCTTTTTAAAATGTTAAATTCCATATTGTTTGTGTCCATTTCTAATAAAATTGAAGTGGCAGTTATAAATAAATAGCTAACATGTTTTTTTGGCTTAATTTTTAAGCTGTTGAGTATTTAGTTGAGTAATTGCTTCAGTTAAAATTTACATTGGAAAATTTACAAGAGAGTATAAAGTAATGGTTTAGAAAAAATGTTGCTGGATGCTGTTACAGTAAGTTATGATCAGTTCATTGTTTTATAGTTTATATTTCAAATTCAATATCAAAGAAATAGTATGAGTAGATTGTCCCCATCAAAATCTTACTGACAGAGATAAAATTCATTTTCCTTGACTCAGTTTTTTTACTCTTTCTTTCTGTCAAATTGCTTGAGTTTTTGTTTTTTGTTTTTTTTTTTTAATAGGCTGTGTATATATCTTAGCTAAAAAATTTAGTGAATTAATTGAAGTTTAGTATCTGTAATGTCATCAGCTTGGGGTAAGATGAAGTAAGACTGGTAGCTGCTACTATCACACTCTTTATTATTTTGTTTTCAGAGTGCCCTGAACATGGTTCATACCACTCCCATTTAATTACAGGGAACAGAAAAAAATTACAAATATTTCATTCATTGTTCACCAGTCACTAAATGATTTCATACTCTGCCTAATGCAGGCTTTGTATATGATGTGATACCTGTCTATGCCCTTGCTCAGAAAAGCTTCAGCCTAACCTACTTGAATAATGAATTCTAAAATGATGTGCTATTGGGTTTTTTTTTTTTTTTAAGTTCTCTGTCCTAATATAAAATTGACTATTTCTCTTGTTCTTTGAGATACAGTGATTTCAGCTTATTCTCTGTAACAGATGAGATTGTAATAGACCTATAGAAGGGAAGACATTTTGTAGTATAGAAACAAGCACAAGTTTTTGTGTGCCCAACTGTTTTAGTAGTGAATTCATCGACCTATGTTTAATGTCCTGTATAAAAATTTATACATTATCTTTTAACCAGCTTTTTATGATAATGAACATTTAAGTATATACTAAGTATTACATTTTTAACGGTTACTATCACATAGCACATTAAAGTTTAAAATACTCTTTCTAATGATAAAATTTAATGTGTCTTCATTTTATGAAAATAATTTATATAAAATCTGAAATTATAAAGCAGTTAAATTAGGAATTTACTATTTGTATTACGGAACATACTTAACTTTTTTAAAGGCTTCAGAAGGTTTGGTGTTGGTTGATTTTAAATCATTTCGGATATTTCAAACTATTCTACTTCTTTGAAACACTTATTTCCTAAAGGGAGGTATAATAAATGGCTAGATACTACACAAGTAGTTGTAATCTGTTGTAGAGTATTACATCTTCTGTTACCTTCTTTCCTTATGTTTGACTTTTTTCCCCTAATTACTCTTTGTAATAACTATCCTATCTATAATCCTTTCTTTTTATTTTTTTTAATTTTATCAAATTTAGTGAGAAGTTTCAGATTTCTAACTTTATGTTATTAACTAACATTACTTTGTTTTGACCTCTTAACAGTATTTTGAGAGAATAAATGGTTTAATAATGCTGAAAAATAATGTCTTATTTTCTCACATTTTCTTCTGAAAGACAATTTTGGATGAGAAGAATGAATGCTTTATTATTTTTTTTAAAGTTGCCAGTAGTACATACAGAGAACAAAATTTAGCAAATGGTGTCACCTAGAGTACAGATAGTTTACTGCTTACCACTGCTTATTATTTGAGTTGTATAATAAATATAAACTTCCATGTTTTAAAAATATGTTGTTTGACATTCGAAAGCACAATTAGAAAATGGGTCATTAAAGATAGACCATTCACTTTATTTAAAAAAAGAGAGAGAGATTGGTTTTTTTAACACTGGAAAACAAGCTTGAGTTATGAGAAAAGATGTTTTCACCTCTATTTATCAGTTCCCTATGCTCTAGCTTATTAAGCTAACATGAGCTGTACCCTGATTTGTAAGTGTATAGCTTCAACCATACTGGACCTGTTCTGTGAATATTTGATATCCATGTAACAGGAATTAACCTGTTGTCTGTCAGCTTAGGGTTTATTTAGACTTGGAACCTCGCATACTATTGCATTAACAAGGTGACTCTCCCTTTTAAAAAATGCTTGAAATACAGCAGAATTACTAGATTAAATTTGTTAGTACAGAAGGATAAAGCATCTTTCATTGAGGGTCACAATGCATAGAGACTAGGAAACCTATTTACCTTTTTTGAATAATTGAAGACATGTATTTCCTGATGATAAATTTAACAGTTTTATAGGAAAAGTGATACATGAAAAAGTATATTTATAATTGAATGTCATAAAGTTCCCATCACATTCTATGCTGTTCTGTAGTGTTACAAATACAAGAAATCTATAGCTGTTAGTTAGTGTGATAGAAAAATTGAATGAGAGTTAAGCCAAAGCATAAAAATGTAAGTCCATGGCTATATAAATAGATATTTCACCAAATAATAAATGTAAAATTACCTACAGGATTATCAGTTTTGTTTTCTTAGATTTGGAAAATCACTGCAAAATTGCCTTTTCATAACATCAAGAATTCTTAGTATTTAATGCTTTAGTTATCAGTTTAAAGCAGTCATTGTTCACTAATGCAGAGTGATTTATTTCATGCCCGATGAAGGCATGATTCACATTCTTACATCAGGTGATTTATGTAATATTATATTTTATGTACTTTGAAATCCATTCTGAGGTGAACATTAGTGTTAATTTTTTGAAGACCATGATCTTCAGTATATTCTTTGTCTAAATTAATACAGCTAGTAACTGTCAAAAGCCAAAACTTGTAACATTTTTAAGACTCCTATTTCAGTGGCAATACACATATATTCCATGTAAGTACTCACATAATTTTACCTTTTGTATAGTTTAAGGATTTAACAGAATAGAAAGAAAAGAACTACATAATAAAATTCATGAAGACTACAAATTATTCCTGAAATTAAAAAAATAGTAAAACATCTTTTTCCTGCTAGCAGTTATATACAGATTTCCCCAATTAACACATGTCAAAGGCAGAGGGGGAGGGAAGGGGAGCTACCTGGAGGCCTAGGAATTAAATCTCATAGCTGTCCTTGCTACAGCCTGAGTTTGATCCCCTGAGTTCTATCCCCCACCAGGGAGCTGAACCACTTGGCACAGCAGACCTTTCCTGTCTCACCTGCTGCTGCCCTCAGCAATGTATTTCAGTAGATCTGCCTGTTCTGCTACTCACTCTGTCTCTGGTGAGTCTCTTCCCCTCCCCACCCAACCTCTGGCCTGTATCCCAGTTATATACAAAATTAAGTAAATAAAATCTTTTTTAAAAAAGAAAGGCAGAGGGAGTAATTTCTTATATTTAAAAAGTGGGTCCTTTGAGGTAAGCTACTGTTTCACTTTTTTTTTTTTTAAGATTATTTATGCATATAGAACTGGGGTGCAGGCCAGAGGTGTAGGGTGGTGAGAGGCTTCACCCGAGACAGTGGGGAGCAGAACAGGCAAATCAAGGAAACACACTGCTGAGGGGGCCAGGAAAGGTCTGCTGTGCCATGTGGTCACCTCCAGGGCAAGCAGGGATTGAACTCATTCTGAAGTGGCTTTAGCTTCTCAGTGCTGTGCTTTAACCTGCTGCGCCACCAGGGAGGGTCAAGCTACTGTTTCACTTTATGTACCTGTGCCAATGTGGAATTGATAGACTTAAGGAAATGATCAAGCCATATAACAGTTGATGCTGTTTTGATACCAGTATTTGATAAATTCTAGTTAAAAGACAGCATTTTATCTTTGTGATTTGAGAAGTTCTGCTAGGTTATTTTATAGTCAGTTCCTTATTCTCAAATTAGAGAAAAATTATATGGATGTGCTTTTCAGGGACTGTTAATAAAGTAACACAAGCACCTTTTAAAATCCTTGGAATATTACTTTTGGTTTGTTGTGTGAACAGCATGAGGATATTTGTTGCTCTTTATTTTTTAATATTCAAGTTTTGTGGTCTTCTAGCTTTTAAATACTTGATTGCTTGGAGATAATGCGTATAGATTTGGCATCTTAGTATGGAAGATTAAAAGAATTGGGTGTTGACTTTAGTGTGTTTTGCTGTGTTGTGTGTGTACGTGTGCACATGCACATGTGATCGATTTATAAAACCTGAATAAAAGTGCTAGAATCTATTTTTATAAAACATAACCAATTTATAATTGAAACAGGATTAGTCAAGAATCATCAGCACGAACCCAAATGTATCTTTACAAACGGAAGGAATCAACTAAACAATTTGCAGTCATCTCAGTCTCTACTAAAACAAAAATCACATCCAACATGCCACCTGACACCATTTCTTTCTCTCTCTCTCCTTTGCTCCTTGCGATGTGGCATTCATCTCTCCTTGTGCCTCCGTTCTGAAGAGATAACAATATAGCAACAACTCTGCCATTGAAATCCTGTTCTCTGACCGATATTGGCACCTGCAAAGCGAAACAACCAGTAGCAGGCAGCAGCAGCATCAGTATTAATCTCCCATGATGAAATCTTTACAGGTCAAGAACAAGCACACAGCTCTTTTCTCATTCCTTCACAGTGGACCATGCAACTAGTTGAAATGGAAGACAGTGGATTGTCTGCAAGCCTTTGAACAGTGGCGAATACAGGGCATTGGTCTTAGGTGAATTGACCCCCAAGTA